AAGGGAGATTGGGAAGGGAAAGCAGCCCCACAACACCTGGTTTCCATCTTTTAGAAGAGCTAATAGAGGGAAGTAATGGAGGGAATAAGTAATTTCATAATAGCGACTAAACCCAAAAGTAGTCAGGGAAATGATACAATGTTGCAGCTGGTAGGTAGAAGTCCAAGTTGCTAGTCCACGTCAGATTGTCCAGGGTTCCTTAGCACTTTGCGCATTCAAATCATTTAAATTCAATGATTATACAACTTTCTAAGTGTGTTATATCTCCCCACTACCTTATCCCCCCACCATTTCCTATGCTCTAAAAGTCTTTCTTCCTTCATAATGTCATCCCCAGATAACCCCAATCTAAGGCAATCTTTGATTTGCTTTCACTATCTTGAGAATTTTACAAATGTGCTGAGTCCCAGATTGTCATATACTTGCTCATGCGTCACCTTGGTTTTATTCTTTGTTCATAAAAATTGTCTCCTTAATCAAACTAGAGTCTTCTCATCTGCAAAACGATGTTTTTTATCTCCTTTCCATTCTCCCTACTAACATAGATGCTTTGCATACAGTCGATACTTATAATGTGTTTTCTGAATTAATTAACACTTGGTTGAAGTCCAGTATTAAGTTCGATGATTTATCCATACTCATCCTTCTCAGTAAGAAAATCCCGTGTTTGTTTTACAGCTATTGACATGAAACAAATCCTTTTGCAATTCTTGCTAAAGGACTTAGTTTGAATGATTAACACAAGTGCTCTGCCTGACAGAGACCCAGCTCAGCCTTCAGAACAATCACCGTACTTGGAAGAGAAAGCCTTAGCGAGGCCTTTTTATGGGCAATCCAAATCCCCAGGCTTGGATATGTTCAGCACAGAGTATAATCAAGTATGGCCACTGATAGTGGAAAGGAATCCAGAGGATAGTAATGGAAACAATGAAAAGGGGGATGGAAAAATGTCTGAAAAGCCAATGATGGAGGAGTACCTTTAAGGATAGGAGTACTCCTCATAAGAAATATGACCCCCGGCTTTCGCCTGAATTGATAGATTGATAGATGCAAGAGACTTTTTGGTAGTAGAATCAATAGGTTTTGGCAATTGAATATGGTGGCACCATTAACAAAAATAAGGAAGGTTAGGTTTAGTGGAGACATCATATAAACTTGTCATTGAGGAGAGTGAATGGCCATGTCTTAACCATTTAGGATGTGGAATTCAAGCCTGCCTGGGGCTTCAGGGAAGAAGAGCTTATCTTGGAAAATCACGTCTAATATTGATTACTTTCATGATTTCATTGTTATCCCACCCAGTTAGGCCCGAAAGAAAGAATGGTGATATATCTATGGAGGTATGAGTCCAGGATGGGAGGCTCTTACTCTTGATGTGATTTAAACTGATTTGAGGGAATTATCAGATCTGAGGGAATCTCATTCTCTCTCTCTCTCTCTCTCTCTCTCTCTCTCTCTCTCTCTCTCTCTCTCTCATAATCATTAGTCATCTCTCCCAGCCAAATCAGTGGTTGTTCCTAAAATTAATTTCCCATGAATTAGTCTAACTAATGAAAGTCATGTTTCCCAGTTTCATTATTCACTGTATGTTGCTTAGGATTTCTGGAGGATTTCATGGGCCTGTGATACAGACCCACAGCGATCAAATGCTATTTTTCAATGAAGAGATTAAAGGTCAAAGAAGGTTTTTTTTTTTCACCTTTGAAAACATACTTGGAAGGGCCAAGGCATTCAGTGACCAAGACAACCTTTAGATCTGCTTTTTTTTTTCCTTTACCAACTGCTATAGTAATGGATAGTATAGATGAGGTCAGTTGGCACCACTTCAGTTTTTCAGAAGTTGGACTCCTAGCTCCCCAAAAAATTACAATTGAGAGGATGGAAATAAATTTAAGAATGTGGAGCAGACCTCCTACTTCTGACTTTAATTTTCTTATGGTAAGATACCTAAGAAGGTGTTATGTCTAAGGGTTCATTGACAACCAAACAGTAGGGATTAAAATGAAATCCTATTCCTTTTCTAAGAGCAGATGTGTTTGTCTTGGGGAGGTAGGTAAGGAGAAGGTACACATTGAAATCATAATTATAACTACCTATATTATATAGTGTTACCATTACAGAATATTTCCATTTATGTTATTTTGTTTAATGAAAATAAAAACTTTAATGAGTAGATGGAACAAATATTATTATTCTCATTTTCTAGATAGCAAAACAATAATTCAAGGGGGCAAAGTGATCCCATAGCTTGAATGTGATAAAATTGAGGTCTGAGCTTAGGTCTTCTGACTTCAAATTCAGTACTCTTTTCACCGAAGTCATTATTAAGGCTTTTTGTTCAAGATTTTTAAAAAAATATTAAGAAGTTTTATTTCAATAAATAAGAACCGCTACATTTGGATGCCAACACTTCAGTACTTACAGGAGACATATAATAGATACATATACATGTATATATACATACACATGCCCCTATACATACATATGTGTATATGAATGAAAGTGGAAACAACACTTAAAAAAATATGAATTGAATAACATTGATTTGACTTCACCAAATACATTCAGAGGGAATTTGTACTAGAGGAGGAAACATTTTAAAGGCATTCAGGAACTGATTTTCAAGATAACTCAGAGGACCATATTCCAAAAGAACAGAAAAAAAATAAAGATGGCACTATTGCTAGAACAAGCCTTCAGCAACTGCCAATTCATATGCCTACTTTCTCTTCTCTGTATTTTTTTGTAAAAATGGTCTCTTGATATAGGGAGGGTATCCTTGAAAAAAAAGTTATGAGAAAAGAATAAACAGCTTTTCTCAAATAATTTTCTGTGACAGACCACATTTTCACATCCAAACATTTTACTGAGACATGTAGAAAATATGTTATCTTTCTGTGATTATTTTCACTAGTAACAAAACACACACACACACACACACACACACACACACACACATTTGACTCAGTAGAGTAAAAGGCAGCCTTAAAGGCTCTCTCTCTAACAAAGCAACTCCCAAGTGTATGAAAAGCCAATACAAGAATCTTGGGAAGACAGAACTACAGAGGTGATTTTGTTCCATGATTGTTTCATCATCAATATCAAATAAGGCATAAAGTGTTCACCATTATCATAAAGGCTGTTTTTTTTTGGGGGGGGTAATCCAAATGAGATATCCCCCATCCTTCCCTGCAGTTGTTCATAGCTGTAAATGATAGTGTAGTTATTACAGAGCACTTTCAGCCGTCTTCAAGGAAATCCATTGCTGTGCAGAAGAGCTCACTCTAAGAGACCACACAGGAAGAGACAAACAAACAGTTCATATTGCCCAGATCATGACAAGTAGTTGGATGGCAGCCAAGACAACTGGCCAGCACTGTAGCTGGACGATGATTTGATTCAGAAATGAGTAAGAGGAAAATGTACTAGTATGTATTTAAGGAATTTTCTATAGATTTCAGTGATTTCCCATGTTCCTTCCCACCAAGAAAACCCATCTTCTCCTGGTAATGCTCTCTGGAAGTGAATCATGGAATTATGGCAAATCACAAAGAAAAGAAAAGACAATGGTAAGTGGTAGTAGGCTTCAGGCTATTACTAATAGTGACTTTTGAGGATGGAGTGACAATAAAAGCCTATATCAGCTACATAGAACTGGAAAAGAAAGTAGATTGGGTTTCCATACAGATATTGTACATATGTCCTCTGCGAAATCATAAGGTATTGGAGAAGAGTCTTTGCATGTTTGATGGGTCATCTGTGAAGGGTTTATGCCAGGACATGGTGAAGTATCACCCAAAATGAAGAGGCCTATGGGGGTTGTGTTAATCACTGGGAGGAGTACCCATGATAGTGAGAGCACAGGACTACAGAAATACTGATGGATATTTCAAGCCAAGTGTACCACCTCTCCACTCCCGTCCTTGGGGTGATGCTGAGGAGAAGGGGAAAGCAATGGGCCACCTGCCAATTTGACAGTTGTGAATGCTAATGGAACGAAGGGAAATGGAATATGAAAGAAAAATAAAGTCAGACTAGGAGTTGGGCGTGTCATTTCCAAATAAACGTTTCATGCAAAAGAATCAAGTCTTTTCAGAGCTGAAAACGGAGTCTTTAAAGAAGATAAAATCAAAGCATTGCCTTAGCTTGTTCCAGGTTCTGTAATGAAATACAGTTTTCCTAATATCCTGTGACCTGAATTTCTCCCTGCTTTATGGATGCTATTCCTTGATGTACAAACCTGTATTTTCTCCAGTCAGCATTCCATGATGGCTGTCAAAATACAGGCCATGTATTATGCATATAGCATTACCGATTTAAGGTGTTTACTTGTCAAGTTGAAGAAATTCAGAAACGTCATATTCACTGAATCTGCATGGCTGTCACTGGGAGTTTTTCATGCCTTTGAATGAAACTTTTGATGAAAACAATTCAGGTTTTCCGTTCACTTTTCCAGATGAGGGAAACAGCGAGCATTTTAAATCCATGTTCTGGGTTATACAGTTGGCTGAAAACTCGTGTTTTTCTCGAGTCTAGAAGGATGGACACTGAAGCTCTCCCTAGTTTCCTCGACAAAGATGTCATGCTGTCTTTCAGAAAGGGAACTCATTGTGTTCAAAATACATTCAAATAAAAATTAAAAGGAAGTGCAATCAGGGAAAGAAAATTAAGTAAAGCCAAGGGTTTTTTTTTCTTCTGAAAGTATAAAAGAAAGTTATGCCAAGGAGAAAGAAGAGGTAGGATCTGTCCATTTTGTGGTGTAGGGGATAGAGTAATGGACTTGGATCTGGAAGGCCTGAGTACAAATCACACTTATTAGCTGTGTGAACCTGGGCATGAAACTTCCTAAATTCTAAAGTGTTAATTAAATATTAGCTATTTTATTGTTGTTATTATTATTATTATTATTATTATTATTATTTACTTTGGGTCATGCCTTTTGTGCTACAAGAACAAAATGTAATACTTCAGCCCTGGAAAGTCTTTTCTTTAGCCTCAGTTTCTTTATTTGGAACATGAAGAGATGGACTCAGTCTATATGATTTGTTCTAGCCCCCTGGGAGACTGTGATTTCCATAAAGCTCCAGATATCTAAAAATGCCAACCTCGTCTTCATCTCATTATGTCACCTTGGAAAGACAATTTGGCAAAAACAGGGAGCTAGTGATCAAATTACCTTCTGGGTATATATGAAGTCGATTTATCTGGAGGCAGCTCATGCTAGGTGGTTAGTTCTTTGTCCTGGGCACCTGGAAAAATAACAAGTGACCTCTCATTCCCAAGCATCTAGTTCATCAGTTATTTTATGCAGCAATCTGCTATGGAGACAGGTAGAGAGACACACAAAGTTAATGCAAACCCTGCCATCATACCTGCCCTCTGTGTGAATGGGAGCAAACCAGCACTTGCTGAATTAAGCTAATAGTAACATTTACCATATGCTGCCCTCTGCAAAATTAATTTCAGCTGAATAAAAATTGTTCCTGCCTTGCTTAGTAATTACTCTAAGAAATTATCAAAGTCACATGAGATGGCCATTCAGCTTTCCTAGTAGCCTAAAGATTTTCTCATCTTTCTTATATGCATATACTTCCATAACCCTGATCTATATTTATGCAAACATGTATACTCAGTATTAATGATTGAGACCCAGAGTGCCAACAAGGAATATAAAAAGCAGAAATTAAACTGGCTACCTTACAAATTGGTTTTGCCCAGAAACCCACTGGACAAAGTCGGTGTGTAAGTTTGAGAGTTCACTGTAGGTTTGGGTAGCAAAATGGATTGTTAGCACCTATCTCAAACCCTTCAGGGTAGTCAACATGATTTTTTAAAAAGGAAGAAAGAAGAGAGAAAGAAAATAGGGTGTGGGAAAGGAAGAAAGTATGGAGAAAGGAGAGGAGGAAGAAAGGAGAAAGATAAGAGGAAAGAAAAGAAGAGAATAAAATAAAGAAGTATAAAGAAAGTAGAGGAAAGGACTGACAAATAGATGAAAGGGAGGAGAAAAGAAAAAGGAAAGGAAAAGGAGAGGAGAGGGCATGGAGACAAATAAAGAATGGGAATAGGAAAGGAAAGGAAGAAGTAGAGGGAAGAAAGGGGATAGAGGATGGAAGGAGAAGAATGGAAAGAGAAGCAACTGAAAGTTTGTTTGTGGAATGCAAATAGAGTGCCAATGTCAAAAATGGATGTATGGTTGATGATCTAACTTGTTGATTCAACCACAGCTCATGAATGATACTCTTTCAGTTGCCTTTCTATTACCCAAGAATCCTCTTGGATGGAAGAATCAGGATCTGAAAAGGTCTCAAAAGGCTAGAATAGTAGGCTAAAGCTTTGATAATATTTATTTTTTAATTATTAATTAACATATTTGCTCCTTGTCTGTGATTTCACTCCTATATGAAATGCCTGGTGAAGAAATCATTCCTTTGTGTCTTATAGTTTATAGAAAATTGCCTGGGACATTGAGAAGGAAAGGAACTTTTATGGTAACCTAGCATGCATGTGACCAAGAGAGACAAGACTTAACACAAGTTTTTCTGATTCCAGGGACATACTCAATCCACTGTGTCATACTACCTCTATGTTTGATAAAGATAAATATATTATCTTGATCTTGGTTTAAAACAATTGGCCATTGACCTAAGAATCAAGAGACCTGAATACTAATTATAGTTTTGTTAATACCCCATCACTGCCGTGCTTCTGACTTTACAAGCTATGTCATTTTGGGGAAAGTCACATCACCACTCTTTACCACACTTTTGTTATATGTATTGTGAGAAGGGTGGAATAGATTATTTTTAAAAGTCTTTTAGAAAGTCAATCATCCTATATAAATGAAAATTACCATAAAAAAGGGAGGGGGAAACATTCACTAATTCTAGATGAGAAAAGATTTTCTGCTTAAGAGAAGAGATAAAGATCAGATAGTCATAGTGAAGCACAAAATAAATTTGAATTTGCAGCATACTTATAGGATTTGGCTAGAAAACCATTCATGTAAAAATGACTCAGGGGATTTGGGTTTAGTGTCAACTCAATATGAAGAGCATTGTGACCTAGCAGCCAAACAGTAAACGTAATCTTAGGTAATCTATGGAACAAGGGAAATGGACCCTGCCCCCATTGCCTTCTCACCATATTTTAGGAAGTATTTTTGACCAACCGGAGAAAGTTCACAGGAGTCCAATTAGAACGATGAGGGGACTTGAAATTGTATTATGCGTGCATTGGTTGAAAGAACTGAAGATAGCCGGAAGATGAGGCAACTTGGGGAAAATATAACCAACTTTCAATATATGAAGAAGTATTGCCATGTAAAAGAGGTATTATAATTTGCTTGATCCCAAAGGTAAACTAGAATGAGTAGGTAGAAACTGTAGGAAGGCAATTTTCAGCTACATGTTGGATGAGGGAAACTTTCACTGACAATTGGAACTATCCAAAACTGGAATAGACTACTTCTTGAGGTCATGAGCGTTACATCACTGGGGGGTCTCTTAGCAGAACCTAGATGACCATATCTTGTGATATCATAGGAGAGATTCACAATATCCTGTCTGACTCTAGGATTCTCTTAGCTTATCCATTTCCCATGCCTAGGGAAATGTTTATTTTATTTTATTTTATTTTATTTTAATCAACACTGGGGCTTTTCGATAGCATTTCCAGACAATTACACTGATTGCTTTAGTGTAATCAATTGGTTTCTTAGCAACTTTCTATGACACCATATCATAAGTCAGATGTTTCCAGAATTGTATCAGAAGTCACTTAAAATTGTCTGTGTCTCTATCCTTTAAAAATCATTCCTCAGAGGAGACCATGGATATGCTTATTTTTTGTCACTCAAATTTATATTAACCTGTAATTACTCATTAGCTATCTTGGGTTTTCACTGTGCTCTAAATATAACTCCTTATGTTCTGATTCTTCCCAATTCTCCCCTCTCTCCTGTCTTCCAGGGTTCACACCACCAGGAATGGACAGGTCATCCCCAGACAACAGTCCAGTCCACGGGATGTTACGTCAGCCATCCATCACAACTGGGGTTAACATCCCTATCATCACTGAGCTAGGTAAGGGGGTGAATTTACAACCTGTTTTCCTCTTCCTCCTTCATATGGGGAAGGAGGAGATAGGCCCACTTCCATGCCTTCTCTCTTTTTGGAAAACAGCCCACCATGAATATAGACAGTTAGTGTGAATACATGAGAAAGCTATGTGACATGTTGGTACTAGGGGACGTGGTAGAAGGCTGAGAAAACTTTCATTTTCAATAAAGGCTGGGTTCCAGCTTCCTTCCCATTGGAAGCTGTCCCTGAAAGTACAGCAGAGGAGGATTTTTAGTGATGAGTTCTATCCCATTTTCTATAATGGTTTACTAAGCTAGCCTTAGCCACTAGGGAACACCTCTTCTGGGTATCATGGCAATGAAGTAATGAGGGTAAATTCTCCCACCTTTGTATGAAATTTCAGATCATCCATTCATAGAAAGTGGGTGAGTTGGAGAGGATAATTGACTACAATTTAATCCCTCCATGCAAGCTAAGGCTATATTTCATGCCACCGTGACCCAATGGACTCTAAAATTTTAAGGAGTAAGACCTTGGACTATCTGGATGTGACATTTAAAAGAGCTCCTACTGAGCTCTGGGTGGCCAAAGGCAAACTAGCAAAACCATTGAATTGTTTCCCAACCCTGCCCCCCCCATTGCAAATACAGTTGGGGGTCCTTTGTCCTTTTCCTTTAGTACTTTATCTCTCTGACACCCTCCCTTTTCTCTGTCTCTGTACTTTCTTTTCCCTCCCCTTCCCCATCCTAAATTGTTATACCCTATTAGCGAAGCCTGGCAAACTTCTGCCTTTGGTTTCAATCAATCAGGAAAAAAACAGTGGGACGCACATTCTCATGATAACCGAACTGGGTAAGAAGTACCGTTTGCCTTCACGTCACTGTCTTGTTCTATCTTTGGTGCTCTAGCCCTCATCAGCTTGTTCTTTCTTTCTCTGGCTGTAACAGAGAGGCTACCCTCATGGTGCTGCTTTGAATGTGTTTTATTTGCGGCTCTGGTTGGAATCAACTGTCTTGCTCTGGCCTTTCTTAATGATTTTCCTTTTTTTTTCCCCACCCAGCATCTGTAAACCTTTGATCACACCCGGCTGACCTGGCAGCTGTTTCCATAGCATCTTCACACCAATTCATTTTCTTTGGCCTGGGCCTTTTTTTTCCCCTGCACATCTCCCTGCCCTCCCTTCTCCTCCCTCCTCCACCTCCCCCCCCACCCTTTTCTCTTTTATTTTCTTCTTTCAACCCTCTGTCAGCTTGACTGACATATCTTCACAGCTCTCATAGGAAGTCAAAGAAGAAATATAAAAATTTCAAAATACAAAAACTAAGATTGTGCCTTCCCTCCAGCTGTTTATTTTCCTTTGTTCTGACTTTATTCGCCTTTTTCACTAGACCTTGTCTCAGATGCCCAGGTTTGGAGGCTACCAAGGCAGTGACCTCTGGGGAGACACCTTCTTCCTAAAGCCAGCGTATGAGAGGGGTTGAAAGTATTACATTAGCCAACCACCATGGCAGAGCACTGCCCCAGTGCTCTGATCCCATCTGGTCCAGAGACCTTTCTGGAAAATTCAGAATAGAGTCTCATCAGGAAGATAAAAGTATGAAGCCACAACTAAATTGTTTATATATGATTCCCCATGACTTGGTCAATGACGCTTTGGACCCAGATGAGTAACAGTAGGTGTCAGAATGGGGTATTGGTCTTATGAACCAGACAGATAGAGTCAGTAAAAGTGCTGGGGAAAGTACCTGCTTCAAATGGCAAATGAAACTCACAATCCATTTTCTTGGCCCCCCAATATATTTCAGAACAAGAGAGCTTTTAACACAGTAATCTTGCTTGTGAGATGTCCAGAAGCCGAGGAATAAATTGTCAGCCATTCAGCACTGCATTATTGTAGATGTGACTATTTATCAGAACGAAACTCTCTCAGGTCAAAAGTAAAGTGTCTCTGTTCTGTGTCTGCAACTGTGAGATAGATGTTGTCTAATATTTATAGAATTTTCTGAGAGCTTCAGTCTTTGAATTGTCTGCCACATACTCTCAAGGCTGTAAGCCTCAAGAGGTCATATGGTTCAAGCCCCTGTCCTAGGAGAAAGACCCCCCCAGGTGAGGGAGGGGCTCGCCAGCCAGTCTCTAAAGATCTGGTTCAAAATGAGTCTACCTCTCTCAGCCTGTAATGGCATTTCTCAGTCTTCATGATCAGTAATTAGTCTTTATATCCACAACATCTCATGTGCCAGAGTTGAAGTCCATTCCTCCTTGTTTTAGCCATAATACTGCCTGACATTTCTGTAAAGTGTACAGAAATCTTAACAGTTTACAAAGAGCTCTCACGGCCATTATCTCATTCAATTCTCATAGTAAGCCCGTGAGCTAGGTAATCCACATAGTCTCATCCCCATTTAACAGATGACAAAACTGAACATCAGAGAGGGTACATGACCTGTTGAAGTTCCCAGAGTTAGCAAGTGACATGCAAGACTTGAACCCAAGTTTAGTGACTCCATGTCAAATGCCCATATCACTTCCACCATCCTCGGTAGGAAGGTTGCCACTTTTATGTCATCATGCTTTGTATATTTGAAAATTATTATTTAACCTCCCTTTAATCTTCTCTTCATGAAATTATTGCTCCAAAACCAATTAAATTTATCAAGTGCCTACTACGTGCTAAGAATACTGCTTTAGCTTTTCTTTAGAAATCCTATTTTCAAGTATTTAAAACTCCCCAAATCTCTCCTTTGACAATTTCCCAGCCTCAACTTTTTTCTGTATCCCTTTAAAATTGTTGAATTGGGTGTAGGGTTTTATTTCAAACCTGCTCACTCCTTTGTAACTCTTTTTAATGACTTAAATATTCCAACATGCCATAAGAGAAGAGTCAGCCATGAGGCCACTCATCTTCATTAATGATTTCTCTCTATAAGTCCTTCTTCTGAGAACCCAGCAGTGCCTTCTGCCCATTTTCTAGGCAAATACAGAATAACCAGTAACCATTCAGGGTGCCCACATTCAAATCATGATTTTCTTTTCATTAAATTTATCATACTTATTTGTGAGCTGCTATTATAAACAAAATTGAGTTATACTTTTCAAAAATAGACAATAAAGTATCCTTAGTCAGAAGCTCACATTTTCTCTTCATTGGAACCATAACTAGGCCAAGGTGACTGGGACCTTGCCCTGGGTATGGGAATTCAGAGGATGCTAACAGTACTTACAAGTTATAAAAACAGCTTAGTTTGGCATCTAAATAGTTAAAATGGCATCCTACCAAATGGCATGCTTCCTTCCTCTGGTAGTCACACTTGAGGTGAACTTTTCCCTTCTTTGACCTTGTCCTGTTCCCTCATCAGAGGTTTCACAGTATCCCTCAGTATCTCCATTTCCTCACCATTGGCCACTGGGATCTTTCCCACATCCTCAACTGAATTTAAAGATGATTGGAGGGTATATTTTCCCCCACTTGATCTGAGTGAAGAAGTTGTTAGCTACAACTCTGCCCATCTGCCATTGGATTGTTTATTCATTTCCAATGTGAGCCAGTATCATTAGCAAGAACTAGCAAAGGCCTACCAATATCCTGGGGTTAAGTGGATTGAGGTAGACAGAGGATAAAGGCCCATTAAAAATCAGCCCTGGGGCATTCTCATGAAACTAGGAGTCTTAAATGCCCAATGGAAAGAGTAAGAGGTCAGAATACTCAGAATGGTGGACCAAAGGGAAAATTGTAGAAAATGTATGACAGAAACAATGTAGTAGCCACTAGATTAATGATGGGGATTGAGAAGGAGTGAAGATGGAATGAAGTTGGAAGGACCCAGGTAGTGTTATTGTACCTCTCTGCATCTTACTCTAGAAAAACAAAATGGGAACTTTAAAAGTTAACTCTATGTTCTTATCCTCCCTATCTCTCTTTTTTCTTTCTTCTATCCCAAACAGAAAAGACTCAAGATAAGGTACTGATAGTTTCTCACAGAAAGAGTTTTCTTTGTACTAGCTACAGCAATGGAGAGATTTTTTTAAAAAATCCCAAGAAGAAAGGTTACTGCTGGTGAGGTTAGGAAGGCATCATGAACCTCAACTTTTATCTTACTTTCACATTCAGAGAGATAGATACACACACACATACACACACATATACATATACATAGATATACATACACAAAAATACTAATTTCTGAAGTCACAATGGGAATTGACACCAATTTGTCATTGAATCTTTACTAAGTTAAGGACATCTCTGACTTGACTGGTCAGTCTGCACTTATATGCCTTGAGAGTCTTTACTGGCCATATAAAAGGTGGCATCAGTCTATTTAAAGAGAATTACGTAAGAGAGGAAGTCATTTGGGAAAGGAAGAAACTTGAATCACCCCCATGTAGTACAAAAGCTACACAATGAAATGAAAGGAGAGGGGTTCCGAAAAAGCAGAAAAGAATCCTGAACTCTGTCAGGAGATTGAAGGGTGGACTAGTGATGGTTTGGTGAAAAGAACACTAGATTGGGAATCAGAGGAAGGGAATGCAGAACCTGGGACTGTTACTATCCATTTGGTGCAGCCATTTAAACTCACTGGGACTCAAATTCCCTGTAAAAAGAGGGAGCTGTAGTAGAAGATGACCTTAGAAGTTCCTTCTAATTTGAAATCCATGATTCTTTTAAATGGTTTATTTCTTTTAGCACATCACATCTGCCAGTGATGTTACTCACTTTGATTTTTTGCTCTGGAGTTAATAAAATCATTGTCAGTAAGCCTTTAGCAAGTGCACAGTAAAATGTAAACTCCTTGAGGACAAGAGCTCTTTCATTTTTGCCTTTGTATCTCCAGTACCTAGCACAGTACCTAGCACACAGTAGGCACTTAATAGCCACTTGGTGATGAATGAACATCTGCTATGTGAAGAGCACTGGGGCCATAACAAGGCAAGAGTAAGCCACTGTGGCAACTAATGATATATCCAAATCATCTGCTTGCATAATACACTCTTTACTCATCACCATTTGGGGGTCCCAGATCTTCTAATTTGATTGCAGTGAGAAATCCCAGTTTATTCCTCTGTACTGAAAGCCACTCTCTGTCTGCGAAAGAATTCAGTCAGTCCAAAGACATGCCTCCTATGTTATCCCTACAAGAGGACCTTGCCTCTTGCCAGTGGTCCTAGGGTCATCCCAGAGGAAATGATCCATACTTTTTGAGTCCCTATGATGTCAGCCAAGGGGTTTACCTCATGAAGCAAAGAGCTACAGTCTCCATTTATCCCTCACTTCCACCCTTGCCACGCCAGGATCCGTATTTCCACCTCCTTTTTAACTTCATTTCCAGTGCCATCAAAGAGACTGCTTATTGCCTCTAAGCCATTATAATGCCAGGCTTAATTAATTTATTTGTTTATTCATTTAGCTTAGCTCACAAGGCTGGACACTGGTCACTAACTGATGTCTTATGACTTTTCTAGTGAATGATACTAATGTTCAGTTTTTGGACCAAGACGATGATGATGACCCAGATACGGAGCTGTATCTCACACAGCCATTTGCATGTGGGACAGCATTTGCCGTTAGTGTCCTGGACTCACTCATGAGTGCGGTAAGTAAGAAAATTCTATCCCTTCCTCCATATTTTGTGGGGAACCCCAGCCAGAAACCCTGATGTAGAGAAATGAAAGGAGAGGGGTTCCGAAAAAGCAGAAAAGAATCCTAAACTCTGTCAGGAGATTGAAGGGTGGACTAGTGATGGTTTGGTGAAAAGAACACTAGATTGGGAATCAGAGAAAGGGAATGCGGAACCTGGGACTGTTACTATCCATTTGGTGCAGTCATTTAAACTCATTGGGACTCAAATTCCCTGTAAAAAGAGGGAGCTGTAGTAGAAGATGACCTAAGAAGTTCCTTCTAATTTGAAATCCATGATTCTTTTAAATGGTTTATTTCTTTTAGCACATCACAACATATTTCAGAATCAAGGTATTTGTTTCTCAAGGATGGAAGAACAAAGGTTTGAATCTGGTCAGATTGTAGATAGCTTGAAAATTTGGATTTTCCCTTTTTATTAAACAAGGAAAGGATGTCAAAACAGAATAGGGTTATTATGAATTCTTTCCTTAGAATGCAAAAAAAAAGGTTTATTATACATCAAAACTTCATTTTTACTCAATTCTCAACAATTGACCAAAATAGGTCACAGAAGGACCTCTGCAAAACAAAACTTTTTAAACACGTTCAGTTTGCCCTGTGCATTAGAAAAAAACAAACCCACAGTTTAAAACAAAAATTTCAGTTTAAATTTTTTGTTCATTCTACCTATCTTTTTCTGAGGATAATAGATCATAGGATTAGAGTTAAGAGGGACCTTAGAAGTCATTAAGTCCAACTCTCATGTTACAGATGAAGAAAGTGAGTCCCAGATACATTAAGTAACTTGGTCTGGGTCATGAAGCTAGTATTTGATGCAGCATTTGAACTCGGATTTTCTTGACTTCATGTCCAACATTCAGTCCACCATGCCATTTCCCTGCCTTGATTTTCCAAAGAGTGAGGTCGTACCTCCCACTTCTCCCACCAGAGGACTCAAAAAATATCTTGTGAGGTGGGTAGATTGTTAGTGTTTCTTCTTCCAGACTTTTTATAGGTCTATTTCTCTTGGAGACCTCTAAAACCAACAACTCTGCATCAGTGGGATCTCTTCCAGGAGCAAAGTCAGAGAGCTCACCGGACCTAGCTCATGCACACCTGAAAAGGCCAAAAATAATGAGGAAGGCTACAGAAACAGTACAAGATAAGCCCCATTAAAGAGGCCTAATATACTGCACCTCTGGTTTAAAAATGATTTCTGTAATTCATTCTTTTAGAAATCTCATTTTACCTCTGATCCTAATTAGAAAGATTTCAGAAGACCATTTATGTTATGGGAAGATTAAACTGTTTACAGGCAACCTTCCTTTAGAGCTTTAAACCAAACCATCAAAATTAAAAAGCAAAATAATGAAAGGAGACATTGCCTTTAGATAGATATTCTCCTTCAGATTTTTTTTTCCAAATTACTTTGTCCCAAAGATGGAATGTAGGTGTTCAGTAGCAGGGCTGTCTGACTTCTCATACAAAGGTTCATAGGAATGTGTGTAATGGTATTTGTTGGTGCTATGTACGTGAATGTATTTGTGTGTGTGTGTGTGTGTGTGTGTGTGTGTATGTGTGTGATAATAGTAATAAGTATATTAGGATTTGAGCCACATCATTCTCTGCATCATCAGAGGGAGTGAGGCTGCAAAGCATTTTCTAAATTGGGCCATTTCACTGAATATTTCTCATTTCCAGACTGACATGGCCAGAGACTTTGGGGGAGAATAGAATAAGTACATATAAATATCACTGGCAGATGTATCCGTGCTTAAGTGCAGATGATAAACCTATGTCCATCTATTTAAAATGTACTCCATGATGGAGATAGGGGCCAAACCTGGGATTTCATTGGCATAGGGAGCTCCTGGGAGAGGAAACACTCTCTAACAATACAGGTCAGTACCTTCTCTGCTCCATGAGAAAGTTCTACATAGAACAAGAATTCTTAAATTTTTTTAGGGTTCCCACTGGCAACTATGGAGTCATTCTCAGAATAAGGCTTTTAAATACATAAGATAAAATACATAGGATTACAAAGCAAATCAGTTATGATGACATTCAGTTATCAAAATATGCAACAACTTGGAATCCCAGGCTAAGAACTTCTAATATAGGGTCATAAATTTAGAGCTGGAAAGGGCCTTAGAGGCCATAAAATCTCACCCCCTCATTTTACAGAGGAGGAAACTGAGGCATAAAAGGTTAAGTGAATTGCCAAGGATTACACATTTAGTGTCTAAGGTGGAATTGTGAAGCCAGGTCTTCCTGACTCCAACTCCAGTACCCAACCATGATGGGATACTTCCACAGCACATTTTATATGGCCTCAGTTGATAGGCATTGGCAGATGTGATACATTGAGAGCCCCTTTTCTTCCTTCTTCTGGCATGAAAGAAAAGGGAGCCAAAATCCTTCAAGAGACTCTTTTGAAAAAAGAACATGAATAAATCTAATGCAAATAGGTCCAATTTGGTTTGCCCACTGCTAGCTAGTTTGTGTATTACCCAACCAGATACTGTCCAGGTATTGTTTGAGGTGAGGTTCTCATAATTTGGAGTGCTGAAGTTCTAAAATGAGGTTTCAGAATTGTGCTTGGTTCAACCAGCAGCCAGATTTCTGAAAGCAAAACAAAACAAAAACAACGTAACAGAAAAAAATACAGTAGCTGTAAATTGCTCTATTCATTTTTTGGATTGTTAGGGTTTTTTCTTCTTCCTTTTCTTGATGACTGAGGTTTACTCAAGTATTGAGAAGAGCTGTTGTAATTAAAAACAGTTAAGAAAGAAATGGAGGGAAATTATACAACATGAGTGAGAGCCTTCCACACAATGGGAACCGGAGAATGAACATATTCCAGCTTAGGCAGCCGTTTACAAACAACACTGAAACACAATTCTATTTAGATGTCAGTGATCTCCTTTTTTTTTCTCACCCTCTTCTCCAAACTGCCATTTAATCAGGTGTCTAAACACTCACAGAATATTGTCCCTCATAATTCAACTCCTGCTGCTCACTGCCTCATTTGTGGAAGGAATAATCTTTCTATTCATCACTGCCATTCCCCAAGTAACAGATAGGGATGCCACAGATGCCGTGTCATGGTACTGTGCAAATCAACACCACACATACCTCATGAGAGAGAGAATAATTACATTTATGCCTAGATAGCTAGGAGAAGAACATCACAATTTGGAAATACATTCTTCAAGCTGAAGTCAGGGTACTATTCACAGGGCAAGTGTGAGGAAGCTGATAGTAACTGGGGCCAGACAACATGGTGGCATATTGTCCCTCCTTCCCGCTGAGGCCTTTTGCTGGTCCTCAAGGTTATGTTGACCCATAGTTCACCCATACTTCTGGAAAAAGTGGCTGAAGGAGCAGAGCCTGCCCTTGGATTCTACCATCCAGTATTTCCAAATGTCAGATCCTTTCTTACATAAGCTCTGAATTTTGTCGTAACCAAGGTAGGGGGCAAGAGGGAACCTTCCTCCTTCCAATACTGGCAACAGTATCCTATGTGCCTAGATCCCATTTGTCACTGGCCATCATTTGACCTCTGAAACCCAATTCTCACCAAATTGACCTAAATAACCAATCTAGGTTCCCTCATTGTAGTGGTAAAGAAAATAATAATAAACCAACAATATCCTCTTACAGAATCAATGGCTTGATAGCATGTCTCCAGTCAATAACTGACATTTATATAGTGATTTGAAATTTGTGAAATATTTTATATGCATCATGTCATATAAACCTCAAAATAACCATACAATATAAACTATAACATTTATCATTACTCCCATTTTATAGATGAAGAAACTGAGACTCAAAGAGGTTAATACATTTGCCTATGGTCATACCTTATGTGGGATTTGAACTTGAACCATGTCCATTACATCATGCTACCTCCCCATTTCTAGAATGATGCCTACAAGTGTGATAGAAAGAATTCCAGACCTAGAGTTAGGAGACCTGGGTTCAAATCCAAACCCCAACACTTGCAAGTTCTTAGCTTGGGCAAGTAGCTTAACCTTCATCTCTCTGAGACCCAGTTTCCTCAGCTGTAAGATGAGGGATTTGCATTAGGTAACCTACAAACTATCTTTAAGCTCTAAATCTATGATTCTATTATCCTATAATTTCTAAGCCTCAGTTTTCTTCTCTGTGAAATGGGGATAGTTAGCATCATTGAATCTTCCTCACAAGCTTGGAATACACAAAGAAATCATCATGAACCTTGTACACTTGAAAGTATTTTGAGGATAAAAAGTTATTATATATGACAGAATGTTTAATATAGAATTATGTATTAGCCATATAATTTTCACCATCCTCAGGCTGAATTGTCCTTTCTACTGTCAGATGCTCCAATTTGGTTAAGTATTATAAAATGGGACATCTTCATTTATTCATTAATATGTGCTTTTGTCCTAAGGGTAAAAAAAGAAACAATATTTGTAGCCTTCAGAGGAATCTGCAAAAAGTGAGGCTCAGAAGACTCACAGCCAAAAATATATATGCTCTGGTCCTTTCCTAGGCAGAGATCTGTAGCCCTCTGGACATTAATAGCCCAGCCTGAATAAGCAAGACTGCACATTGTTCAGGGAAGAAACAAACAGCATTTACAGTTAATACTCCTAGACATTACCACTAATGAGCTTGAGTTTATGAATATGTGTGCATGTGTATGTGTGTATTTAATGAAGTTTATTTTTACAGTTGAAGTAAACTGGAACCCTGCCTCCTTCTCAAAAAACAAACAAACCAAAAAATATGTGGATTGGCCCAAACTCTAGAATATGGTACATTAGAACATTTCCCTTTATGGAAGAACTATGGTTATCTTATTCTCTAGACACTTGAGAACCATTACCAATGCTTGTAAGGCATACTGGTAATATCACAACTAGCTATTCAAATTTGAAAACTAAATTGTATTTTTTCAGTTAACAATAATTTATTTTCTCTTCCCACTACATCCCTGCCTCTCTCCCCACACAATCAAATGGGAGAAAATTTAAAACCCTTTGTAACAAATATGCATACTCAAACAAAAACAAATTCTCACATTGACCTTGTGAAAAAAATGTATGCCTCATTCAGCATCTTGAATCCATCACTTCTCTGTTAGGACATGAGTAGCATGGGTAGCACTGATCTTCCTCCCTCATCATAGTTGGCTATTATGCTAATCAATTCTTAAATCTTTCGATTTTTTTTTTTTGAACTTTGTTATTGTTTAAATTGTTGCCCTGGTTCTGCTAACTTCATTCTGCATCAGTTCATGCAAGTCTTCCCAACTACTCAAAAGGAAGTTCTTCCATCTCTCTCCTGCCCAGAGCAAGGCAGGCACTGTCCACTGAATTCTTACTTTAATCAAAAAGTACCTCCCATGTATACTTTCATTTTAACTTCTAAAATCATTACCATAGTAGCTTGGCCTTGGACAGGGTCATATGGTCTTGTGGAAGGAGAACTAACCCTGAATTCAGGGGGTTTATGTTCTAGTTTCAGTTCTTCCAGTGAATCCGGAATTATTTTACCTCCTTGAGCCTCAGTCTCCCAACTATAAAGTGAGAATGATATTAAGTATCACTCTTAAACTCCTAAGGATATGAATAGGATAAATTGAAAACTGAGGGGTAAAAGTACTCTGGGAGCAAAAGCCCTAATATGTAGAAAATGCAAAGGTCTCTTATGTGTTGTCTTTTTCCTACAAAAGATTGGAAAAAATTTTTGGTGGAGTGGGGGAGGAAGAGGACTATTAAAGTAATGAGCAATTAGTGGCTACATAGGGAGTGTAAAAAGAAGAAAAAATAGAAGAAACAAAGACTTGCCTGAAAGTATGGTCATCAAAATTATATATTCAGGGGAAGATACCCCATAACCAGGGCTCCCCTGAGAGCAGGGCAAAGTCTTGCCTCTGGCCAATTTTATAATTTGCATGGAGTCAATCATGGGTCCATCAGCCTTTGGATTCTGCCATCCAGACATTGTCATAGACTTTGAGAGTTAGAAAGAACCTCAGTGGTTATCAAAGAGTGCAGCCTCTACACAAAAGGAATCCCCAGTATAATATTACCAACAAATGGTCATCTCTCCTCTCAGCAGGGGAAACTCATGATGTCTTGAGGCAGTCCCATGTCACTTTTGAACAGCTCTAATTGTCCAGAAGCTTTTTCTGACATCAAGCCTAAATTTGAAATTCTCGCCCATTGTTGGTTCCACCCTAGTGGGACAAACAGAAAGAGGATCACATTTCTTCCCCTTCTATGATATCCTTTCAAATACTGGAACACAGCTATCATGATTCTCCTGAGACTTTCTTCTTCCAGGTTAAACATGCCCAGTTCCCTAGATTCTTCTCATATGACAAAGATTCGGAGTTCTTCACTATCTTGCTTGTCCTCTGAACACGTGCCACCTTATCAACGTCCTCAAACACAGTGCCCAGAACTGAAAACAATACTCCAAGAAAGGTCTGACAAGGGTTGACTACAGTGAGGTGATCACCTCCCTATTTCTGGAAGCTCTGCTACTTGTAATGTAACCCAAGGTCGTATTAGTTCTTTTGGCTGCCACATCACCCTGGTGATTCACAATGATGTTACAGTCCCTTAACTCCTCCCCCTCAGTTCTTTTCCAGAACAACTGCTATCTATCTAGAGACCTCCCAACTCATACTTGTGAAGCTATTCTATAAGATTTTACCTCTATCCCGATTGAATTTCATCTTAGTAGATTAAGCCTGATGCTCTCACTTGTCAAGATCTTTGGGGATCCTGACTCTGTTATTCATCATGTTAGCTATCTATCCCTGCCAATTTTGTGTCATGGAAAATTTGATGAGCATGCCATCTTTGCTTTTATCCAAGTCATTGATAAAAATGTCAAACAGCACATCATCAAGTAGAGATCCCTGAGGTACTCCTCTGGAGACTGGTTGCCATGCTGACATTAACAATCAACGAGCAACAATCAACAATCCCCTCCACCCAAGCCTCATAATAGTGGCTAATCCTTAGGTCTGCTTGCATATAGGCTCCATCCAGTCCAACCTAATCCAGTCCAATGAGTATGTATTAAGTGTCTGCCATGTCCAAAGCATTAGAGCTAAAATGAAGGGGGGTGGGGGAAGGTTTCTGCCCCCAAGAAGCTTTTGAATACTGTGGGAAGTGGGAAAGAATATAATATATAAACAAATAATTGGGAATCTTTCATTCACTGTACTTGTGTCCCCAGTGTTTGGCATATAATAGGACTTAATAAATACTTATGGATTGATGAATGGATTGATAGACATATATATATATATATATATATATATATATTTATATAATGATTTGAGGAGGAGACAGACAGGAATAACCATGGTGATCAGGAAAGGCACCTTGTAATTCAAGATAAGTCATGTTGTCAGGCAAGAGAAAGCTGAAGCCACCCTTGTGGCTACTGCCTAAGTGGTAGAGATGTTGGTCTTGGTAGGAAGGGTTCTCAGGTGTGGAACAGGAGTGTCTACTAAATTTAGAATGCAGGACCATAGTCTCATAATTTAAAAGAAAACCCTCACATTTATCTAGTACACATTTTACATAGTACTTATATAGTACATTTATATAGTATGTAGTTTGCCAAGCACTTTTCACAACAAACGTAGTACAATGGAAAGAATACCGAGTTTATAGTCATAGAACCTAGGTTCATTGTTCCTATCTGGTCTCAGATATTTACTAGCTATGTGACTCTGAATAAGTCGCTTAATCTCTTTTCCTCAGTTTCCCCATCTGTAAAATAGAAATGTTACCAAAAATGAGGTACTTACCTCATAGAGTTGTGAAGGCCAAAAGATAGAATATATGTAAAGTGACTTATAAACCTCAAAGAACTTGTATAAATGCTAGCTCTCATTATTATTATCATTATTATAATAATTATTATTATTATTTACCCTCTGGGTGATTTTGGGCAATTTACTCAACTTCTCTGTACCCCAGTTTCTCCTTCTATAAAATGAGGAGGTTGGACCTCTTGACATATGATTCTGTGATCCTCAGTCCTATGAAATATGAATTATGACTCTTATTACCCCTGTTTTACACATGAAGGAAATCAAAGTTCCTAGAGATTACATGGTTTTCTAGTCGTATTCCTAGGACATAACAGAGCATGGACCCAAACCTAGGTCTCCCAGCTTCTAATTCCATGTTCTTTCCCTACCTCCCCTCCCCCCTTGCTTACTCTTAAATCAAATGTGGCCCAAAGTTGATGGAAAATAGCAAATGGTCCTCTCTACTCGTAAGGAAAAAAATTGCTAAAAATAAAAACCTACACCATGAAAACTGGCAAATATAAAAAATGGCAGCTATGACATGGAAAATGACAATTTTAGAGCAATTATAAACGCAAGGCAAAGTGCCATTAAAGTTAAAGCAATGTTATTAAAAGATGTGTTAATTTTCAGTTAAATTTTCTATAAAAGACCAATTAGTTTAAAAGGCTTGACAGCATTAACTATGAAACATAAGCTCTGGTAATTATACTTTAAAAAAAAAAAAAGAATGCTCCAGCACACTAGAGAACAGCCCCAAACATTTCCACCCAAGCAGAGCTGCCTCAGCCTTCAGATCTCGGGCTAGATGGCACTGCGGGCTCAGATATCCAGATATGAATTGGCTTGTCATTCATTCAGTGGCTGGGGTTCCTTTTGCTTTTCAATGCTCTGCCTTCTCTCAGAAATCCCAGAAAGAGTGAATGCCAGTACCAGGAGGGCCTCTGACATCATCAAGTCTAAAGCCCTCCTTTTACAGATGAGGAAATCAACCCAGAGAAGTTGTTACTTGCCCAAGGTCACACAGCTCATCAATGACAGTGTTCATTCCACTATACCTTTGCCCTCACAGGCAACAGACAAGAAGATCCTAACTAAGTTTTCTTATGCTATCTGGGGCCTGCTAGACAAAGTTGTGTAAATCATTTTATAAATTACCTGTAACTTATTTACAGGTGCTTTAAAGAGGGCCAGAGAACAAAGGGTAGATCCCATGGGGCCTCAGTCTGGATTGAATCCAATAAGCAATTATTAAGAGGCAGCTAGCTGGCACCAGCCCTGAAGTCAGCAGGGCCTGAGTTCAAATATAGCTTCAGATACTTACTAGCTATGTGACCCTGGGCAAGTTACTTAACCCTGATTGCCTTCCCCCCCCCCGAAAAAAAAGCAATTATGAAGTGCCTACTGTATGCCAGAGGCGACATGGTGTAATAGTAAAGAACCGACTCATGAGCAAGGAAGACATGGGTTCAGGTCCTGCTTCTGACATATTACTGGCTGGTTGACCATGGGAAAGTCATTTTATGTCTTGCGTTTTATGCAGTTTTCTAAAACGTTAAATTCCAGAGGAGGTGCTATCTTCATTGGTAGAAGGAGTTTCTTCGTCTAAAAGTGCCTCACCCTCTATCAATTAAATCCTCAGTCTAGTCCTTTTCATTAGGTGATGGAGATGTATAGACAAAAATGAAAGAATCCTTGCCCACAAAGGGCAAACAGTCTATTGGGAGAGAAACTTGTATAGAAATAAAAATAATAATCATAGCTAGCAATTATATGATAATTTAAAATTGATTATCTTATTTGATCTGCACAATAAGTCTGTGAGATAGGTACTATTATTATCCCTATCTTATATATGAGAAAAGAGAGGCTGATAGAGGTTAATTAACTTATCCAGAGTCACACAATTCGTAGGATTCTTTTTCCAAATCTATTTCTCAGTCTTTGCTGTTCAGTCATTTCAGTTGTGTCTGACTCCTTGTGACCCCATTTGGGCTTTTCTTTCAAAAATTTCTAGAGTGGTTTGCCATTTCCTTCTCTAGTTCATTTTACAGATGAGGAAACTGAGGCAAGCAGGATTAAATGACTTGCCTAGGGTCACACAGCTAGTAAGTGTCTGAGGTTGGATTTGAATTCAGATCTTGAGGCTCAGTGCTTTATCCACTGAATCTCCTAGCTGCCCCATCTACTGAGCCAATTAATTTGACAACTATGTCAAGTTGTTTTTTTTTAATTTGTTTTTATTTTTATTTTTTTAGTAATTTTATTTGGGGGAGAAACTAACAACTCAAGAGACGAAGGTCAGGAAAGGCCTTTTATAGGAGAAACCCCTTGAAGGGAGCTAATTCAAGAGGCAGAGATGAGGAGGGAGAATGTTCTGGAGGACAGACTAGGCAAATTCAGGGAGGCAGAACGTGAAATGTCATTTATGGGAAATAGGCCAGGCTGGTTGGAATGCTGCAGCCCCCAAGTGCATGAGAAGGAGTCCTGTGAAATCGGTGGGGAAAGACTGTGTGCAACCAGTATGTGAAGGACTTTAAACATCAGAGTGGTGTTTGCATCTTGTCACAGAAACAGAGACAGGGAGCAGGTAGCTATTGAGATGTCTTGAGCAGGGGAGCGACAGACTGGTTAGAAGTATTAATTTAGCTGCTGTGTAGAGAGTGGTTTGGAAAGTCTTCAGACCCATTTGTGGGTCTTTGCAGAGCAACACTTACCCAAATGGGAATGCCTACTGATAGCAGCAACAAGGACAGCATCAGGTATAAGCCACAGGGCTAAGTTGGACAAATCCCTTTGCTTCTTTACACCATAGTTTCCTTCTAAGGTTTTTCTTCCAGCTCTAAATCTATGATTCTGTGTTCTCTTAACAGAGCCTAAGATTGTATGGGCTTCATTAATTGCTTCTTATCAAGCTTGCTGTCCACTGAGATACCCAGATCTTTTTTTTTCAGACAAATTGCTGTCTATTCATGCCTCCTCCATCTTGAAAATTTTGAACTCAAACATAAAACTTTCCATTTGTCCTTATTAGAGTTCATGTTATTTGATTTGGCCCAGTGTTTTGGCTTGTTGGGATATTTGTGAATCCCAACAGTGGCCTGAGATACATCTGTTATCTCCCCAATAGTACATAATTTAGAAACTCGAGAAGCATACCATTCTATGACTTAATCCAAGACGTTGATAACAAGTCTAAAAGCAGAATAGGGTCAATTACAGAACCTGATCTAACAGCTTGGTACCTGTCAAAAAAGGAAATAAATCTGGAAAGGCCCCATTAGAAAAGACTTCTCCATATCTCCTGTGACCTAGAATGAGCAGACATGATAATAATAATAAGGGAAGGAAAGGAAAGGAAGGTAAAGGAATAAGCATTTATTTAGCACCTATGTGCCAGGCACTGTGCTAAGCACTTTAAAAATATTATCTTAATCATTATCTCATTAGTAATAATAATAATAATAATATTAATAATAGCTAGCACTTATACTTCAAAAGTTTGCAAAGTCACATATGTATGTATATGTATGTGTATATGTATGTATATCTCTTCACATATAATTTCATTTGATTCTCACAACAGCTCTTTGAGGTAGGTGCTATTATGATTTCCATTTAACAGAAGAGGGATCTAAGACTGAGAAAGGTTACGAGACTATGGTAAATATTTGAGTCAGGATTCAAACTCAAGTCTTCTGGACTATGTACTATACAACTTAGTTGCCCCTGAGTTGAAAATCATCTGTTTTCTATGTTGGCACGCATACTCTGAGCTTTTCTAATAATGATTGGAATAATTTTCTCTGAGAAGCTCTCTTGGGACAGCAGTAAGCAAAGCAGGACATGCAATTAGGTGCCTAACCCACGCTCGTACTAGCATGGTTGTACTAGTATACTGTTTCATAGATAATGATGAGATTGTGAGGAGTGGGACATCCCAGCTATCAACATGCATGTCCTAGCATGTTCAAGTTCCACCTTTTATCATTTATGTGTTGCTCTAAATAGATTGGACCATTCCTTACAATTTTGTCATCACTCACAAAGAGACCTTAAGACCCAAATTACACTCCTCATGCACAAGTCACTGGAGAGGGTTGTTCTGCACCTGATTGTTTGGGAACCAACAGGAGAAAGAGATATGTTTAGGCAAGCTTACAGCATTATCTTTAATTATGACTCAGATTTGCATAGCACATAAGATTTATAAAGCACTTTCATCACAATAGTTGTGAAGGAGGGTTGGAAAGACACCATTATAACCATTTTGTAAAGGAGGTAACAATCTCAGAGAGGTTAAGGGGACTCACCCACAGTCACACAGTATTGAACCAAGTTAAGAGTTAAAACCTAGCCCCCCGAGTCTGAGGTCAGTGCCTTTTCCACTGTATGCACCATGTTGCCTTTTCAAAATCCAATGTGCTCTACCTATGGCAATGCTGCCCACTCCAAATGAGCACAGTTGAAGAGATAGAATTTTGAGTTACAGTACCAGTCTGGGATGTAAAGTATGTGTCACTGTCAAAAGATATGAGTAGCATAAGATTTGGTCATGCAACTTTGGAGTGACTCACTCAGAAATCCTGCCTTTTGATAAACAGTTTTGAAGGCATTGTTCTCTGTAACAATGAACAGCCCACAATGTTATAACCAGGTCATTTCACTGCTTACTCCGGCATAGGGCGAAGCACACAGTAGGCACCCGATACAGATTGTTGACTGATAAGCTGAAAAGATTAGGCCATTTCACAGTAATATATTTCAACACTGACAGAGGAAAAAACTGTTGAGGTCAGGTCCTAAAGATGTGACAAAAATTAATCTTACATTTTGATAATAAAAACTATTTTGCAGTTAACTTTAAGGGAAGATCATGGAGCCATAGAATTTTTATAGTAAGCAGGAGACCTTAGCAGTCATCACAAGAAGAAACTGAGGTGCAGACATGTTTAGAGATTTGCTGGTCACAAAACTGATTCTGGCAGAAATGAGACTAGAACCCTTGCCTTAATTCTGGTCTCCTACCATCCTGGCCTGGCAATGAGACTGAGGAATTGTCCCTCCAAAAAAGTTTTGGGTTTTTTTTTTCAAAGCAGTTCTGTCATTGCCTTTTCTGAAAAATCTTTCATCTTTTCTTCTCACCCAAATTTTTCCAGCCAGTTACAAGGAGGCAGTGTGATATAGGGGTAAGAATCCTGAACCTGGGAGTCAGGAGAATTAGATTCAAATCCCGAGTCTTACAGTAATTAGCCTTGTGACATATCAAGTCACTTCACTCCATACTCTGGGCTTCACTTTCCTCACTTGTAAAATTACAGGATTGGGTTCCATTATTTTCAAAGTCCAATCAAGCCCTGACATTCTGTTATAGAAATCTTATCAAGGCCAGAGATAGTCTAATCTATTTGATTTCAGATACTTCTTTGGGCCCCTTTCACACTGGACTATGTCACTTTAATCAAGCTTGAAAGGCACTCATTTGGCATGAAATTAATTTTTAAATGCCCATTGTTTTCCTCACAGACCAGTGATTTTATGGATTTTGGCAAAGCGTCAGTGGAGAGGAAGCCTTCCTTAATAAGCCACACTTAGCCTAGACCCTAGAGGTTTTAAAAGGAAACAGCAGGATCCCAGCTCATCATAAATTTATCTGGCACAGATTCAGGGTATTTAAATTGATACACACGTCTATGTCTGAACATTAGCAGAACATGTCCTAAATTGTTTACCACATGGCCTCTGGATGGCTCCCAGAGGCCTGGCCCAGTGACACATCATAACATCAGCAGAGTATACAAGCCGCTCTCTCTCTGGTGCATTGGTGGTCAGTCACTAGAGCTAGCCCAGTCTTTCTCGACCTCTAAGCTGGGGGTAAATAGTGCCTTTAGAGCCCAAGCAAAGCTTCCCCACAGAGCCCGAGTTTTATAATTCCATTTCCTTAAGCTCCTTGTTAGCCAGGAAGGGATAAGAAATGGAGGGCATTCTTGTCTTGCCACTAACACCAATTATGGAAAACATAAATCATTCAAATTTTAGTTCTTTAATAAAAATCTGCCTGAATAGGTCTTTAAAAGGAAGACTCTAGTGTTGCAGCCTAATGGGATAGAAGGGAATAGAGTAATTGGAGGCTGCTGTCTTTTCACTTCCAACATAAAATTATTTGAAGAGACAGGCCAGAACTTTGAACAGGAGAAACTCAGAAAAGTTGTAATTTGAATGTCTGCTGTTGTGAGTTTAATGGTGTTTTTGCTTAAGGAGAGCTTCTTTCATGTCCCTAGACATACTTCAATGACAACATCCTTACCCTGATCCGGACGCTGGTCACGGGAGGAGCGACTCCAGAGCTGGAAGCCCTGATTGCTGAGGAAAATGCCTTACGAGGTGGCTACAGCACCCCACAGACACTGGCCAACAGGGATCGATGTCGGGTCGCACAGCTAGCCCTGCTGGATGGGCCTTTTGCAGATTTAGGGGTAAGCTTCTGAACCCCACCTCCCATTTGGTAATGCCCTATTTTTTGCCATCACTTTTTTTTATTTGTTTTTTGCTTTTTGGTGAGGCAATGGGGGTTAAGTGACTTGCCCAGGGTCACATAGCTAGTTAAGTGTAAAATGTCTGAGGTCAGATTTGAACTCAGGTCCTCCTGACTCCAAGGCCAGAGCTCTATCCACTGTGCCACCTGAATGTTAGATTCTTTGTTTTTGTTTGTTTGTTTGTTTTGTTTTGTTTTTTGGCTAGGCAATGGGGTTAAATGAGTTGCCCAGTTGCCATCACTTTTTAATGAAACAGTAAGAAATCAGGTATTTCATTTTCCTTCCCTACTCCATTTATCTGCCTCCCTGGTCAATGATCTACTCAGGATTTTTTTCTATGAGATAGGTAGTTCCTGATTGGAACTTCTCCTGGAAATTCCACCAAATGCTTCTATTATTCATCTCCTGACTCTTAGCTGGCCTCAGCTAGCAGTCGCCTGACCAGGAAATACTTTGGGTCAGTGTTGACAAAGACCAAGGTATCTCTGCAAAAGTCCCACGTGCCAGTCTAGACTTTTCAGCTGAAGTAAGTGGATGACATTCATAAAGCCCTTAGGAGTATAAGACCACAGATCTAGAATTGTAAGAGACCATCGAGGCCATCTAGACTACAAATGAGAAAACTGGGTGAATAAAGGGCAAATGACTTTGCCCAAGGTAACATGGGCCTTGGAAGAGGTAAGATTGAACCCATGTCCTTTTGGCCCTTTTTGCACTAGCAGTTACCAAGCTCTTTTCATACATTATCTCAGTTGATCCATCTAATAAATTTTCCCAGAAAGGGATCATAAATTTTATTAGCCCTCATTTAAAAATGAGGAACCTGAGTCTTAAAGATATAGAAATGTTCTGCCCAGTGTCCCCAAACTAGTGAATGGAGGAGCCAGGACACAAAAGCAGGCCTTCAGAGTTCCATCCCAGCATTCTCTCTTTCTGCTGTGTCTTGCTATCTCAAACAAATATCTGGTGCCACCAGCCATTTCTCTTATGTGATTCCATATGATGATGGTAGTAGTAGGATAAGATACTGTGCTAGCCAGGCATACATTTTCCCCTAGTTAAACCACTGGATTAACACCAACTATGGGAGGTCATCTTGCTTCCTAGATCTACTGAATTCACAATTCAGTTTCCTAACAATTGGATTTGCTTTCATGTCCCATGTTGGCCAGTGATGGTTGTGTTTACTGTCCCAGTCAGGTGGAAGGCAATTGTGAAATGATCAGAGCTGTGATTGCCAGTAATTCAGAATTCAGACCTTGGCTCTTGGGAAACACACTCCCTCCCACCCTCTCCTTGCCGTAGCCGAGGTCTGCAAATTGTGCTTTTCACACAGTCCTTACCTGCAAGTGAGTGTCACCCTCATGCTTGGTGGCATCTCTCCTCCTTACTGGGGTTTTAATTATCACTAGGGCAAGTTTTGACAACACCATCAAATCAAGCAAAGCACAGCACAGTGGGCTCTTGAGAGCCAGAGCAAAGTTTAATCATTCTTTCCAAGAGACCATATTTCTCTTCTTCTCCTGAGTGAAAGCTCTCAGTCCCCAAAGCTTTCGGCTTCCAATTAAAATCAGACTCGCTTGCTCTTCTCCCAAGTTTGGCCAGGCCTGCTCAGGTGAAGTTTCTGGGGAACACCCCAGCTTGTGTCCATCATTGCCTATTCCAGGAGATTGTCACAACCTAATACAAACTGTTAACCAGGTGACTGCTTTGTGGTTGTCCCATTGGCACAGACATTCTGTCTGAAGGGTCATACCCTCATCCCTAAAATGATTCTTTAATACATATTTCTTTCCTCCTTATTCTGTATTCTCAGACAAATAAAAATTATATATGTATATATAGAGATATACAATATATATGTGTATACCTACATATGTGTATATATAAATATAAATATATATATATATATATATTTTTTTCTTTTCATGTGTTGTCTCCTAGGATGGTGGCTGTTATGGTGATCTATTCTGTAAAGCCCTAAAGACCTACAATATGCTCTGCTTTGGAATTTACCGGCTGAGAGATGCCCACCTCAGCACACCGAGCCAGTGCACCAAACGGTGAGTGCTTTCTGCTGCTGCTTCCAGGTGTGGAGTAGTAGGTGCCCACTCAAATGGCACAGGGGGAGAGCCACAGGCGAGGCTCATGTCTGCAGTGGAAAAATGGCTCTCCTCTCAAGAGATCCAATGCCCTTCCTCCCTCCCCCCACCCCAAACCAAATAAGTGGTGGTGCATGAAAAGACTCTCTTTTAAACAATCATCTCAGATTGAGGTATTGGAATAAGGAAAAAGCAAAATGGGGAATGCTTATTACGTCCTGTGAGCCAGAATAGGAAATATTGGTACACGTACATATCTATAAAAATGTACCCTCAATCTCACCAGCTATGTCTGGCTGTGTTTGCATAACCCCAAATATTCATGTGTTTCATGTATTTATAGACAAAGCACCTGCTTATTAAATACATTTTATGTGTATCTTTTGCTTTTACATAGCTTAATTTCCTCTTGTATCTCTCCCTTCCCTTCCCCATATGTACTTTAAAAAAATCTGAAAAATTCAGTTATTTGGATATTTGGCATTGTATAGTGTCTTTTCTACTATATTAAAAGATCACAGGGTAATAGATTTAGTGCTGGGAGGAAAGTTAGAGTTCCTCTAATCTGACTCCTTCATTTTATTCAGGAGGAGGAAACTGAGGCCAGAAAGGTTAAGTCATTTGCCCAAAGTCACATAGGTGCTAAGTGGTGGAGGTGTGATTCCAAGAACAGGTCATCTGACCTCCAGATTCTCTCCATTATACCAAAAGATAGTCTGGGGATAGGTTTATGTGTTATACTCCTTGACCATTGAGAATCCCCAATGATGTTTAGTTTAAGGGTCTGATTATAATGTTGACAGAAATGTAACCTTTGTCATATGTTCACTAGTGAGGAACCAGGGCTATCTGGGGATTTTATGGTATATCTGTGAACAAAAGATATAGTCCAGGCCACCTGACTTTCAAATGTCAAATACCTTCCCCAATCAGAATTAAGCTAAGGGTTTTCTTCTTGTGGAACTGTAAGAACACAGGGCAGAAACAGAAAAATGGGTTTTGTGGAATTAACTACAGGAAAAAGAACCTAAAAGGCCCAAAGAAATAGTCTGGGATTGGGCTGAAGAAACAAGAGTTGGTTGAACCAGAAGGGTATGAATCAAAGCAGACCATACAAGTAACAGGTCATTTTCCCATATTCCACATTTGGCTCCATGTATGAACCAAAAATCTGAAACTTGAGAAGGAGTCTGTTTAGAACAATCACAATTTTAAAGGGTTAGAAAATTAGCTTTCATGACGGCAAGGGACTAGATGGGATGGTTTCTTGAAGCCATTAATTAATGGATTAAAACAACAACAACAACAATAACTTCTAGGCAATGTGCCTAGAACTGGGAATTTAAAAAAAAAAAGCAAAAACAGTTCCTGCCCCCAAGGAGCTTACATACTACTGGGGAGACATCAGTACATAGAGAGAGTTATAAAGTAGATGGAAGGTCACCTTAGAGGAGACCTCTGAAGGGTTGGCAGAGGTAAGTCCTATCCGACTAGGTAAAGAGAACAGGGTCAAACACTGCCTACAATCCATGTGTCCTTGAAGCCCCCTTTCTCATTTCTTTTCCAGATACGTCATCACCAACCCTCCGTATGAGTTTGAGCTGGTGCCCACTGACCTGATCTTCTGTTTGATGCAGTTTGACCACAATGCTGGACAGTCCAGGGCCAGCCTCTCTCACTCTTCTCACTCCTCCCAGTCCTCCAGCAAGAAAAGTTCCTCTGTTCACTCCATCCCCTCCACGGCAAATCGGCAGAACCGCCCCAAGTCCAGGGACTCTCGGGACAAACAGAAGTATGTGCAGGAGGAAAGACTTTAATATGTATACCCACTCCCACCGTGTGTGAAACTGTATCTGCCACTCATTCCCCAGTTGGTGTTCCCAACAGTAACTTCCCTTGTCCTTCCCCTTCCAGTTCTTTCCCCTTTTTTATACACATATTTTGCATATGTATGATAGTGTGCATGTGACTGTCATTTTTATTTTACCACCATAAAACCCTTAAGCACAACAGCAACTAAGCAGACAGACGGACCAAAAGTTATTTATGAGTCTAGGGGGAAAAAAAATCATAGGCATGCTAAAAACATAAATAACTCAACTGCAGAAATGATTTTACAGATTAGTGGAGAGAGGCTATTCAGTGTGAACACTCCTTAGCAAAGGCAGAGCTATACCCAGAAAGTTCTAGAATGCAGAAATGCTGATGTATCAGGGTGCTTTGGGGGTATTCTTTTTAAATACTCACAAGAAATCTGTGCATTTATTTGAAAGAAGCAAACAAAAGCAAGTGATTGTCTCCACTCTCCCAACTATAACAGTGTGAAGCATTTGACAGGCCTCCCCTGTTTGCCTGGATTTTTATGGAGCACCTGTGTCCAGCAAGCTAACATCAGGGATTCCTCTTTTAAGACCTTTCTGTTTCATGATCTTCTTCTTTTGGAAAACATTTCTGTTCCACTTTTTTTTTTAAAGAAACAATAACAGTATTCCATTCATGGAGACAGCAAACTCTAGTAATTTAATTTAAGTAAAAAGGGTCTAATTGCATATTGAATTGTTAGTCTGTCTCTGTGTGCTGCCACATAGAAAACTGTTTTTTTTTTTTTTTTTCCTTTTGACATTTGGGATGAAAAGCCATATGTATCATAAATATCAGATGTTAAGTCATTAAAAACTGCCTTCCTGGGACTTTTACATCTTTTCAAAGGTGAATCACTCACCTTATGTACAGAATAAATAACACTCAGAAAAGAGCAAGTATTTTTCCACATATCCTCAGGGGATCTTCACCCTCTCCCCCCAAATTGGTGGATTTGTGTAGGCCCTGATCCCTGGCACTGTGTGGGTCTGATACAATGAGACAGCCAAGGAAGATAAAACAAGAAACAGATAATATTTTTCTAGGTCGCAGCGAGCAAAAGTAAATCAGAAAGTGAGATCGAGGCAGAGCCCACAAAAAACCAACCAAACAAACAAACAAACAAAAAACCAAAGGCAGCCAGTGCCCTTGAGAAGTCGTGGCTTCTGGTAGCATCGTCCCCAGTTGGCCAAGGGAATTGAAAGGGTTTAAAAAGCCCTGGCCTAAGAGTTTTTTTTTAAAGGAGCACAAATACTCTTCATTCCTTGGCTCATCCAGAAAGACTCTCATTAGGCAAGTGAAAAAGGAAAAGAAAAAAACCAAAAACCTGGCACCTGCAGACCTAGTCAAGGAGGAGCACAATGGGCCAAAATCTTGGGGTGCATCCTCTTTTTTATAGTAGTTAGTTAAAGGGCCTCTAAACTTCCTTCCCCCCTACCCAAAAATGCAGAATTCAGTGGTCTTTGGCCAGACTATTGACAACTAGTCACAGAAATGCTTCCTAAAAATCAGCCTTTCCCACTACTGCCAAGCTCTGGCATCTTTTGAGATTGGATAGCTAGTGGGAAGAGGCCAGTGGGGTGATTAGGAAAGCATGTTTTGGTTTGTTTGGGGATTTTCCCCTAATTCTCTTAAATGGGGCTGGGGGGTAACGGGTGGGGGTGGGGAACTTGGGAGTGGGGATGAGTAAATGCCATAGCTGTACCAGCTTGGAAGAGGTTTATGATTCATATTTCAGAGTACAGTTTTTGATTCCCCTACTTTCCCAAGCATGATATATGTATATTTTTTTGATATTTGCTTGCTGTGTGAATGGACAAACCCGGTGAGGCTTTGCCGGCAGGCACCTCCCTAGAACCATACCAGCACCACGGAATAGGAGCAGTACAGGGTTCAAACAATTATGGGTGGGGGCGGGGGAGTAATTACCTGCATATATACACACACACACACACACACACACACACACACACACACACACACACATATATACACATATATATGTATGTATGTATATTAAGATGGGCTAGAAACCCTGTGAGTGGAAGGTATTCTCCAATTATTTTCATTTAAATATATATAGAGATTATATATAATATTATCTATAACTATCTATAACTCTATATACACTAGTTCTGGATCATGAAAATTTTTTCATGCATCCTTTGCAAAGGAGGTTATAAAGTTATGCCCTCAGAACATTTATAACTACAAGGATGTGCCAGTTAAAGATGTCAACAGGAAATATGACAGTTTAAAAGCATTGTAAAACTTACAGAGCTTACTTCTCTCTCTAAAGTGCAACAAGGATGAATAGAATGGGCCAAGGTATGATAATTAATGGTTCTGCATGCCCTAGCCTCTGCTGTGGGTTTTCTTCTATAACGCTGTCCTTGTGAAAACTTGTGAAATTAAAAAAAAAACCAACAACAAACAACAAACAAAAAAAAAAGGAGTTACAAACTTAATTCTGTTATGGCTTTGTTTATTTTATTGTTATTTTTTGTGGTTTTATTTCTCTTTGCTTCCTCCCCTCCCCCCAACTTCCTCTGTCCCTTCCCTTCTCCCCATCTCCCAAGTGGCCAAGAGCAATAAGGCTGCACTGCTCCTTTGCTGGATTCCTCCTCCACCCCCCTTCTCCTTCTCCATTCCCTCCTCTGGATGTTTTGGTTGTTGGTCTTGGGTTTTTGTATTTTCCCTGGGTGATTCACCTCTTTCCAGCTTACCTTGAATCTGCACGTGTCCTCACTGTCCCACCATTTCCCTCTCCTGAGACCTGGCTTCATTCAGTCCTCTCCTCACCATCCCATCCTCTCCATCATCAGTCTGTCCACATCTTGAACATCTTTCTGTTTATCTTGGCAACAGCTACCGAATCGAGTCATGATGCCAGTTGATAAACCTTTTTTTGGAAAACATGTGCAGCTTTTCCATCTGGCAAACCTGCTTTTCTGTTAACTTTTTCTTCCTTTTTTTTTTAAAAAAAAAAAAACTATTTGGAAGCAGGAGGAACGATTTTGAATGACCAAAAGGAATGTTCACACGTGTGTTAGTTTGCTATGCCCTCGATCTAGAAGTGATTTGACTAGACATATAAGACTTTGGTCCACTCTCAATTATTTAGACACTGGTTATTTGGTTTGGGCATTAAATATACTCCTCTCTCCTGCCTTTTCAATGTGTTGCTGCCCACAGTGAATGCTGATCAGAGGCTGGGTGCACACAAAGGGGGAATTAATTCAATTTCAAAACAACAACAACAATGTAGCTCCTTGTTAGTGACTCTAATGTGATTTGATGGGGATGAAGTGAGAACTCTCCTCTGAGATGGGATTTGGGGATTATCTGTACATTTCATTAAACCTGTGAGCTAACCTTGTTCTCCATTAACACAGATAATTGAGAGTTGACTGTATTTGTATAATGGTGTGTTCAGTGTTGCTGATGGAAGGAAATTCAATTCAACAAACATAAATTAAACACTGTTTTGTTTACTGAGGAGCCCTACTAAGCCAGTGAGATAATCACAGCAAAGTGTGCCTTCCAAGAGCCAGTAATGTCCTCTCCACCAGTCTTTGCTCTCCTCACTCTGGTAGAATTTATACATTCCTCTTTTAGGAGTGTGTCTGTCTACTCAGGGAAAGGAGTGCACGTGCCTTGTACTTTCTCATACTCATTTCAAAAACAAAACAAAACAACACCAAAAACAAACATACAAACAAACAAACAAAAAAGTAAGGATATGGAAGCAACGAGCTTCAAAGTTAGTTTGAAAGAAAACAGCACTTTTCCAAGGGGAACATCCAGAAACTCACTTAATCACTTCCTCTAGTCTAAGATAGAAGATATTTTCTATTCATTCAGTCCCATTTGTTTTGGCTTTGAAAAGAGGCCATCAAATGATTTGATGGGTTCAAGGTACAAAATCCTGTTTATCCTAAAATGCGAAGGACTTGATTAAGTCATTAGTTTTTTAGTGATTGGGATGAAGTCAAAACTCTTGTCTGAGATAAGATTTGGGGATTACTTATATTCCCCAGTGGCCAAATCTAGGTGTATAAGAAGAGCCTTCCTTAGTTCAAAACACAAAAACCAATGTTTGTGCAAAAGCAGAGGATTCTCCAAAAGTAAATAAATAAATAAAAGGATAAAGATTTGTGACCCTGAAAGTTCAAATGTCACTAATAAGTCTAATAATAATTGCTATTTAAAATTAGCCTATTAGATTTACTTTCATCAGTCCCTCATACTCTATCAGCCCCTCAGCTGAAGCTGTTGATAGCTCCATCTTCTACCCTGGTGTATGGATTCTAAAATGAGGCAGGGATAGAAGAATTGTGCCTTTTCAGAGGAGGAAGGGGACCACCTTAGGTACAGATTAGTTCACTGACAAGCATTTATTAAGCACCTGCTATGTGCCAAGCACTGAGACAAAAGTGAAACAGTTCCTGCCCTCCAGCATCTTATGTTCTACTAGGAGAAACTACAGACATGTAAAATAGGTGGAGGAGAAGCTTATTGGAAGGAGTAAGATAAGGGCTCCTGGAGGGAGGTGATCAGGAAAGGCCTCACATAAGACAGTGATGAGCTGAGTCTGGAAGGAGACTAGGTGTGGAGGAGGGAACCTTTTGCTTGCTCTGCAGCAGTAAGAGGAAAAAAAGGGTATCTGTTCTCTTACAGACAATTCTATCAGTCTGTCACATTTCTCTAACAATATCCCTCCAGGAGGAGAGATGGTGGGACAAAAACTACAGGCTTTACCTAAGACAAGGAGTAGCGAAAGCCAATGTCTCAGTCAATTATACAGCCACTCACTTCTTTCTCAAAGTATAAAAAAAAAAAAGTGGCTCTTAGCTCAGATATCTTTATGGAGTGGGTCACAAGGAAGGGTTCCTGCATTCTGCATTCTGTCCATGGAAAATTCACTGGAGTCTACAATGATACCCCCCAAAAACGCAAGCAAAAATCTATGCACCATGCAGCTCTGGTTCGAGCCCCTAAGGAGAAGAAATGGGAGAAGGACACAATGTTGATACTACAAATATGCAAGGCAGGCTGCAATGTCCACCTAATCACGGCTCAAGCCTTTCCTCCCTTCAAATAAAATGTTCTTCACATTGAAAAATTTCTCTGGAAGCAATCAAAGAAGTTCCAGATAATGAAAATAGTCTAACTTCTGTGCAAAATGATTCCCTGCTCTATAGAAGAGGAGGGCTTGGTAGGCAGTCACAGTAAAGAGAGGAGGCTGGAGAAGAGGACAAAAAACTCGGGAGACTTCATGTAAGAAGAACAAGGTTTTCAACAACTGGGTTTTGCTTTTAAAAGGCAGGAGCTCATTGTTATCCTTCTGTTATTCTCAATTGTTGTTTCTATCCAAAGGAAATCTTTCCTTTCAAATATTTTATCTCTATGCTTCAGCTTGTGGTATGGGAAAAACAGGTCCAATTACTCCAAAAAGCCTTTGCTGCATCTTTTTTTTCCCTCCCCCTTTTTCTGTTCTCTTGAGAGGAGTTATTGTGAAAAGACTAAATTGCACAGTGCTGTCAGAATCTGCAGAACTAGCAGACAGACCCAATTACCTCTACCACAGAACTGGTCCTCTGACTTCTAGATGGATACTCAGAAACAAGTGGAGTTCAGATTTGGCCAAGTCAGCCTGGGGACTCAGCCTGATATAGATCAGGACTTCCTGATCTATATCTGGTCACTGGACCCAGATGGCTCCAGAGGAGAGAGTAAGGCTGGTGACTTTGCACAGCTCTTCCTCACTCAAATCCAATTCACTTGCAAGTCATGACATCACCTTCCTCACATCATGGTCCTTTTCAAGAATGAAGGTCAAACAGTGATCTGTGAGTAGTAAGTAGTAGCTGCCCCACTGGGGACCCAACTGGCCTGCTCCTTCCTTCCTTCCTTCCTTCCTTCCTTCCTTCCTTCCTTCCTTCCTTCCTTCCTTCCTTCCTTCCTTCCTTCCTTCCTTCTTCCTTCCTTCCTTCTTCCTTCCTTCCTTCTTCCTTCCTTCCCTCCTTCCTTCCTTCCTTCCTTCCTTCCTTCCTTCTTTCCTTCCTTCCTTCCTTCCTTCCTTCCTTCCTTCCTTCCTTCCTTCCTTCCTTCCTTCCTTTCTTCCTTCCTTTCTTCCTTCTTTCCCTTCCCTTCCCTTCACTTCCCTTCCCTTCCTCCTTTCTTCCTTCCCTCCCTCCTTTCCTCCTTCCTCCTTTCTCCCTACCTCTCTCCCTTCCTTCCTTACCTTCCCTTTTTCTTTCCTTCCTTCCTTCCCTCCCTTCCTCCTTTCTTCCTTCCCTCCCTTCTCTCTTTCCCTCCCTCCTTCCCTCTTTTACTGCCTCCTTTCTTCCCTTCCTCCTCTCCCTCCCTCCTTGCCCTCTGTCCACATAGGGAATCATACTCTTACCTGAGGGTTCTGCCCAAAGGATTATAAATTTTGATCACTGAAACCTAGCAACATATCTTGGGGTTTTATTTTTTTTAAGGACCATACTTTAGACCCTATCCACTCTGGCTGTCATCCATTGGCCAACAAGGTCTTAGCCCAAGCCTCACTTGGTCATTGTTTGGGCTATGATGATTCAGAGCTAGTATAAATAGCAATTTTTTTCTGTTTTGGCCAGAAACCCTGAGGGGCTTCCTCTCCCAGATAGATTTCATTTTTTTGGGGTTTTTTTTTTTGTTTTTTTCAATTAGTTAAAAGAGGCCATACTTTGCCTCATTTCTTACCTGTCCTTAATCTCTGAATGGGCATTGCCTGAGTCAAACTGAGACCTGGGAAAGATCTTAGCTTAAAAAGGCCAAGGTCTCCCACTGCAACTGGAGCCATCTCCAGTCATCCTGATTTATATCTTGCCACTGGACCCTAATGGCTCCAGAGGAGCCAGTGAGGCTGGTGACTTTGCACAGCCCTCCCTCACTCAAATCCAATTCACTTGCAAATCATGATATCACCTTCCTGATGTCATGAGCCTCTTCAAGAAGAAGGACAAACAAAAAGGAATGAAATAGATCTAGGGATCCACATTTCCTATTGTAATCAAGTTGAATTTTCCCAGAAAGCTTTGTTTCAGACATCTTTGCCCTTATCACATTTTGCCTATATATTTTTGCACATGTCATATGCTCTGCCTCTCTATACTCCCTCCTCTCTATCCCCAGCATTAGCTCTTAAGCCCTCTGAGGGCATGGTATTTTTCATCCTTGTATCTTTAGCACCTAGCACAGTGTCTTGCATAATAGATGCTAAATAAATGTTCATTGCATTGGGATCTTGTATCAGAGAAAGGCACACAAAGACAGAAAAGTTATAGTGGGAGACTAAG